CGAAGATAGGCACGGCTGAACCAGATGAGGCACAAGAAACTGGTGATGAAGCAGACTCAGCTGTCTCTCACTCTCTCTTTGCAAGAGCTCCATGAAGGTCATATTTCTCCACATCGTACTTTTGTGTAAGCACACCCCTGCTCTTTCCCCATGCCTAAGAAAACCACTGTTCGATGACTTTAACACACTTGGTAGTATTGTTTCCTGAGGATAAACAAAATATACATCCATATACAAAAGAACCTCCTCAGGAAAGCTCCTCCATTAGCATGTTTCACAGCCTGGGGGTGCTCCTACAAGATAATGACTCAGCCCTACCCCCACCTTCCTGAGTAGATATAAATTACCTGCCTGCCATTTTCTTCTCACCTTGACACAGAGAGTCCTCCGTCTTTCTGTGTTATACCTCTGAGGATGCCAGTCGCAGCTACTGGCGAAACGTCAGGTCCTACAATGCCAAGACCACGGCCACATAGCCCGGAAAATCTACAACAACGAATGAACCCCGGCCCTGAAAGCCTTCAACAACATATCCGAAACCGCTTGTTAATCCTAGGAAAGTGTGTTCTTTATCTCTTGTATTCCTTGGATCCACACGTCTTTAAAGGAAGGAGTGATAAATGCTATCCAGGAGCTTGAAAAACGAAGACTTTTAGTCTACTTTCCCACTTCATCGCTCTATCAAGACGCCTTGAAGAGAAAACATTCCAGGAACGTAGCCTGAACAGTGTCAAGAACATTTGCATCACACTTTTGTATTATACTCACACCCTTATCTACTGGCATTGCCTATGTTTATGGCATGTACTTTACATAAAGAGGACTGTTGTGTAATATTAAAAAATTGCATTATAAACATTATAAAGAGTACAACCCAGTGTGTTAAAGTCACAGAACAGTGGTTTTCTCTGGTGAGCTTATTTTATTTTCCCCATTGTATTTACACTGAAGCCTGTCTTGTTTTCGATACTTTCCCCGGGCCTCCCCCCGTTGTTGTGGTTTGCTTACTCATAAATCATGTCAAGGAAGGAGGTGCGGAAGTGAAAATGGGGTTTGTTTGTTTTTTAGCTATTCCAGGCCAAGAGCTCAGGGCTCCGCAGGGCAGCCGTCCCAGAGGCAGGGGCTCCCCCCATCAGTGCTCCCTCTAAGCTGGGTTGGTGCGAGCCAGCTCACAGTTGTTTAGCCTTCGGCTCACACATTTTTTTGTCTTCACTCCGGAAGGATGGGGCTCCAGAGCAGACTAATTTATGCTGGCTCACAGCTTTAATGCCAGGAACTCACAAAGTAGGATTTTTGCTCACAAGAAGACGCCACAGCTGAGAGGGAGCCTTGTACCCCCACCCCCCACCCGGAGGGGCTGCCTCGAGGGCGGCCTTCCAGCAGGCAGAGCCAATGTCAAGGATCCCCGTGGCTCCCGATGCAACGGGGGACTCACCCGGGCTGGGGTCTCGGGGAGCGGCTTCCCTCTTCCCCCCTGGAGGATCCGCAGGCGGAGGGGCCTCCCCTCGCGCTATCCGGGACAGGGCCTCGGGCTGGTGGTCGTGGGCAGACCCTGCTCAAAGACGACAAGAAAGACTCCTCTGAGGGTGGAGGGGATGCCTGCCTCACCCCCCCCCCCGATGCCTCCACCTGGCCTGAGGGAAGGAAAGACCCCACTGGGGGACGCAGAGGGGTCTCTCCGGCCGGAGGATGCCAAGGTGAGAGCGAAGAGGGGAACACGAGCCTCTGCCCTCCTGCTTGCCCTGGCCCAAGCACCACCCCTGGCCGGGGAGACTCTTCACGGGCCCCGCCGGCCCCCGAGCAAGGGCGGCTGCACTTCAACCCCACCGGCTGGCCGTCGCTCCGCCGCAGTTCTGTCCGCCCCCCCCTGGCAACTGGCCCGGCCGGGGGGAGGCTGAGTCTGGTGGCAGTTCCCGCCCTGAGTGTACCTAGAGAGGCCACCAGGGTGTGGTTCTCCTTCATCACATCCCAGTAGAGCGCCTTCTGCCACGCTGCCAGCTCCGCCCACTCCTCGGGGGAGAAATAGACGGCCACGTCCTCAAACGTCACCTGAAAGACAAGGCGTTTCGCATTCAGCACCGGCTGCCTCCCTCTCTGGTGTCTTTCCAGCCGTCGCAAACGGCCTCGGGGGGCCACGTGGCGGCAGAGCCAGTGGCCACGGCCTCCCGGGTAGGGGATGCTGGGCCCAGAAACAGCAAGAACACCCAACAGTCTTGGGGGACTTCTATGATGCAGAGATTGGCGGCGGCAGCAGCAGCTGGGGGGGGGGGAGGCTAAGTCCACTGGGTGGTGCTCAACCCCCACCCCCACTCGGCAAAGAGGCACACACGGAGGCGCGTCCCGTGATGCTTCTGTGCCAGGCAAAGGCACCAGATGAAGAGAGCCCCTTCCCTGGCTGGCTAACATGGCGCCCCCGGACAAGCCCTTCAAGGGAAAGGAGGATCTCTGCCTCCGACAGACACTTGCAGAGAACAGCCCCCACCCCCTGACGCCAGGCTGAGCCCAGCGCGTGCAGGAGACAGCCACTTCCAGCCTGCAGGGAAGACGGGCGCCTCTCTGAGGAACATCCACGACTCCTTTGGGAAACAGCAAATATTTGCACGGATGGAAAAAGCCAGCCTGTGGGCCCCTGGAAGGGCTCCTCTGTCCCTCTCCCCTGAGCTGGCCGGTGCCTCCGGGGGGTCCCCACGTTCCTGCACCCAGCCAGAGTCGGAAGGGGCAACGGATCTCGTGGGCAGTGGCACTCGCGGGCCGCACGGGGCACCACAGCCTGCTGTGGCTGCTGCTTCAGGAGAGACCCTGCAAAGAGGTCAGGGGGCTTCTGTCCTGCTTGTGCCCCCCCTCCTCCTCCAGAGCTGGCTTCAGCGTCCCACCCACCCGCCACCCCCAGTCCCATCTTCTCACCTGAGCAGTCCGGGAGGGGCCGTCAGGGGTCCTCTCCTGCACCAGGTGCTCCAGGACCCGCTGGTGCCAACACTGCCAGGTGCACAGGCCCCGCCAGGGCCCAGGGGGCAGCAAACAGTCCCACAGGGGAGCAGCTGGCGAGTTGGCGTCTTCACCGCCTGGGGGACAAGGAGGAGGACAGGAGGCTTTGCACGGGGCTCACCGGCACTGCAGAACCTCCACCCACCCCAGTCCCAGGAAGAGCAGGAGCCCCCGACCCCCGCCAAGGTGCCACCCAACAGGACCTGCCACCGCTCCCCTGGCCCAGTGCTCCAAACGGGTGGCCAAACAGGGGCAATTCCGGCCTGGGCTGACACTGGCCAAGCGCCTCCAAACACCCCCAAGGGAGCGCCAGGGGCTGCACGAGTCACAGAGGAGACCTGACCCCCGGCTGCCTCTGGGGACTCAGATGTAAAAATTCTGCTCGGAGAAACGCCATCAGAAATTGCCAAAATGTAAACTGTTGGTGACGTCACAGCAACAAAATTTAGTGCGTACTATAACTCTGAGAAGGCATAAGATGCAATGACAGTTTATATTTTGGCAGTTTCTGATGGTGTTTCTCCTAGTGGAATTTGTATATCTGGGACCTCTGGGGCCTGGCACTCTGCACTCAGTGGGTAGGAAGAAGCCCGTGACTGAAGCCAGCGGGCTGCGAAGAAGGCAGAAGGGGGGGGCAGAGCAATCGGCCGGAAGCCCCCCCCAAGGGAGTGCAGACTCAGGCCGGCCACAGAGCATCCGGGCTAGACGCTCGACAGAAACCAGGCAGACAGGAGAGCTGGGCTACAAGGCCAGGGGAGCACAGGATCCGTGCGGAGCAGAACCCGTCACGGGGGAGCAATGCTCCCTCTAAGCTGTGGAGTCTTGTGAGCAAAAGTTCTACTTTGTGAGCTCCTGGCATTAAAGTTGGGAGCGAGCGATTGGGCTGCTGCATCAATCAGTTGGCTCTGGAGCCCCATCCTTCCCGAGCCGAGACAAAAATGTGTGAGCCGGAGGCTAAGAAACTGTGAGCCAGCTCACACCGACTCAGCTTAGAGGGAACCCTGGCTGGGATCCCAGTTCGTTACCTGGGGTTGTCACGGCCAGAGATGAACAGAGGTGTTTTGCCCTGGTCCAATGCCTCCCTCTAAGCCGTGGAGTCCCCTGAGCAGAAATTCCACTTTGTGAGCTCCTGGCATTGAAGTTGTGAGCGAGGGATTGGGCTGCTCCTGCATCAATCAGTTGGCTCTGGAGCCCCACCCTCCCTGAGCTGAGACAAAACTGTGCGAGCCGGAGGCTAAAGAACTGTGAGCGAACTCAGACTAACTGAGCGTAGAGGGAGCACTGCGTGGTGGGAGTGGCCCCTTCTGGATCCCAGGGGCCACCCCGCGCCTGGTCCTGCTGAGATCCTGCCAGCCGCCCTGTGAGTGAGCCCAGAGTGCCACTGCCCGTGGCGCTCTAGCGAGTTCGGGAGGGAGGCCAGAGGTGATGAAGTGGGACCTCCTGGACTCCTGGTCCTTCTCTCTGCCGCTCCAGGAATCAAGACCCAGCACGATCGTGAAGGGAAGCAACAAGAAGCATGCGCTCGCTCTCCCTCTCCCTCTGTGCCAACGGTGAACTTGAACAGCACTCCCCCCCC